CTTTACACTCTGTAGGTCTAAATATTAATGTATGTCTAAATATTAATGTAGGTCTAAATATTAAACTAACATTTATAATATTACTTTACACTCTGTAGGTCTAAATATTAATGTATGTCTAAATATTAATGTAGGTCTAAATATTAAACTAACATTTATAATATTACTTTACACTCTGTAGGTCTAAATATTAATGTATGTCTAAATATTAATGTAGGTCTAAATATTAAACTAACATTTATAATATTACTTTACACTCTGTAGGTCTAAATATTAATGTATGTCTAAATATTAATGTAGGTCTAAATATTAAACTAACATTTATAATATTACTTTACACTCTGTAGGTCTAAATATTAATGTATGTCTAAATATTAATGTAGGTCTAAATATTAATCAGACATTTATAATATTAATTTACACTCTGTAGGTCTAAATATTAATGTATGTCTAAATATTACTGTAGGTCTAAATATTAATCAGACATTTATAATATTATTTTACACTCTGTAGGTCTAAATATTAATCAGAGGACAAAGTAATATTTAATAGTTTGTGTTAAATTGTAGCATGATTCAACAGAGCTAAACTCTGTATAAATGCTCCACAAGCTAATATCTGCTAACCAGTTCAATACATAACAGTGATTACATGGACTTTATMAGATTATTTTAATTTTAAACTGTTACATTATGTTCTGCTCAGATCACATTGAGCTAAATAAGATCAAATCTGCTGACTTGTTGTAAAATGAGACGTTTTCCTGTTTATCTTCCGTTAATAAATCTAGAACATAAACAGCTTTTCTGGCATTTTTTCAAACATTAGATAGATTATATAAACTGTAAAATATTAATAATAACTGTTTATATTATTTTTAATAGTTTTTTTATGATTTCTACATGGTCAGTCCTTTTTTTCTGCTCTGTTGTCAACATGTACAGTAATGGGAAATCCAGAGTCTTGCCCATTTTGCATTAGCCTTTAGCTTCTCCAGCCGATCACACGGTCAGGTGGTTTCTGAGCACTCCAGTTGTTATATAAACATATACAGTATCTCCATGTAAGCAAATTATTACTTGGCTCAATGTTGGCTCATAAGACAAAGAATGACATAAACTTAAGACAGTGACAAAACACTAAACACATCAACATTTTAGTATGGTAAATGTGACCACAAATGTGCAAAGCTAAGCAAAATAAAGAAAAATTGTATGACCCATACCTGCTGTCATTAAGAACACAAATAATGCAGTAAAGTAATATATGAAAATAAATAATAAACAAAAATATCATACATCTACATAATAAACAAAAATGAAACTACATCTTTAAACATCCATGTCAGTTTTTGCTTTTGAACTAAGACTATCAATCATCTCTTTGTTAACTACCGGTAAATAACAAAATAATATTATAAACTCTAGGTTTATTTTGGCCCAAAGTAGAAACAATAATAAAATAATATTTTGGAGTATGAAGAGTACTTCTGAAATATCTGTGAACCTGTCCTGATACCTGTCTGGTTTCTCAACAACATGTGATCTAGTCGTGATTTAACCTCCATCTTTCTGTGGTTAATTCTCTGAGACTCTGTTACACATTATGTCAAAAGTAGAGACTTCAAACTTTACACCAGTTGTTAAAGACTGTTCCTCTTCAAGAATATTACTCATAATTTCTCCTTACCTGAGGAAAGTCTGCATTATGATCCCTGCTGCTGTAGGCTATCTGGTCTGTCTCCTCCCTGACCTTGTTCTGTGGCAATGAAGATTTATTTTAAATATGTGGAAAGCAGCCAGCATGACTTCTGCACAGAAATGAAAGATGACTGGGTTTATCTAGCATTAACTAACTAGCAAGGGGTGTAACAGGTAACAACAACTAATCATGTTAACTGTAATGTGTAACTCATCATTTAGCTAACATTATCTGCCTCCAACAGCATGACTCAACTTACATGGTTTGTTTGGTAAAAACTGTGTGAAGTTTTAGTTGCTCTTTACACCGGGAGGCTCTGCTCAGAAGGCAGGTGGTCAGAAGAACGTCTCCTATCAGTCATCTACAGGAGTAGCTTGCGCACGCTTATGGTGCGTTCAAAGACGGCTCAGGAAAACGCATTGCCATGTGTTAATAATGGATAAAACAGCTGTAACGGCTGAGAAAAGTGCGGGAGACATAGAGCACAGATGCAGGAAGTGCAGGGAGACAAGTCCACGCATATCCCCCATCCATTATGTCCGTGCCTTCACTGCCCAGGGCCCTTTAGAGACCGTGGGCCCCTGGGCAGTTGCCCAATTGCCCATATGGTTAATCCGGCCATGCACCCACCCATCTAACTTTGTGTGTGTTTATGTGTATGCATGTTTGCATTCACTCAGACACTCATGATGCTGTCCCCACCATACTTAATTTACAGCGGGAATAGTGTCCTCAGCACAATGAGAGTTGTTAGGTTTGAGTCACACATCTTGTTCTTGATTTCCAAGATGTTGATTTCTAGTCCCATCTGACCACAGCACTATTTGCCCACCTGACAGAGGTGTAGCCAAACATTTTTCTCAGGGGTGGCCAGACGGGGACCACTACTCACACAGGGGTGGCCAGGAAAATTACATCACTTTTTACTTGAAAGTTTCAGCATATATTCATTTTTTGGTCATTTCCTAATATCCTTATACAGGCAGTGACCTTATAAACATAGGTGTCAGAACCATTTTAAAAGTGTGGGGACACACTGTTGGGGGGTCTGGGGGTCCTCCCCCAGAAAATTTTGAACAAAATAGATGCCCTTTCCAGCATTCTGGTGTATTTTACCACATTGTTTAACATATTTTAGCCACATAAATAAACACTTGATTTAATAATTATTTCAGAGACAGATTCTTCATTAAACTAGTTTCATTATCCTGTCATTAAACTCACTGCTACAGCTGAGATAATGTTAATTAATGTGACACAATTTATCACGTCTAATTACTATAGGGGTGCATTTTACTTTTGTATTGTTTATTGATTCATTTTTAAATTTAACACGTCATTGTGCCAAATAATGATGACCTTCAACTGCATGTTTAAAACTAATATTAATAACTTTACCCAATGAACAGGTGCAGCATTAATAATCACCAACAGTGAATTTAAAGGGGCATTTTCACGTTTTCTGATTTAGTGATAGGTCTACTCAAAACCAAAAGGGACAGAGTATCATGCAGCCTTCAGAACATAAAATGACAATGTGTTATGATGACAAAAAAATATAAATAAATAAACAAAACAAACCTTTGTCACCATAAGTCAGATTACATAGGCATGTGTTTTGTATATAAAGAAAACAATCACTTTTTTGACACTTCTTTGAGCTTGGTGATGTTTCAAACTATTAAACACTGCCACCAACTGTTCAGGAGGATTATTACACCCCTAAAGGTTGTTTCACTGTGGAAGGTGTGTGTACAGCAGGGTGGCCAAAGATTGGTCTGTGGTGGCCATGGTCACCCCGGCTCCGCCCCTGCCACCTGATCGAGGAGTGTTTAGCATACCTTTTTTCACAACTCCTCAAAAGAGTGGCAAAGAAAAGCATGTTTTTTATAATTTTCAGTCTAAAGGAAATGTTTAGAATGTTAACTTTTTGGTGTCTCAGTGTGTATTGAAATCCATCTCAAACTAACATTACACCAAAAATCCGTGAAGTTAACAAGACTATTGTGCTGAAAAACAAAAAAGTTCTGATTTTTTATTATTTTCCCTACAGAGCAAAATAAGCAATTCAATACACTTCATAACTTTCAGGACTGTATAACCAAGCATTTCATATTATGCCACATATACATGGAAAGGTATAAATCAGAACACTTTAATTTGTGATTAATTTATAATGGTTTTCAACCCAGAAACAGCATGTCTGACCTGCCCAGAGTGTATGTTTCTGTCTTGAATTGTTTGAGTATAGTGGCAGCACAGGTGTTATTTCAATGATTTGATTGTGGAAATGTTTATTTCTTTTTCTTCCCCTGAGCCAGAGGGCAATGTAATGGAACCAATATACCATGTACAGAAACTGATACAAAAACTATTCTGCAGAATCTAAAACAGATGAGATGCACTGGTGCCTTAAACTACAAATAAAACCTAGCTTATGAAAGCATCAAACCGAAACATAAAACACAAAGGGAGAAAGTTAGTGAAAACAACATCCAAGCTAACATCAGAGAAAAGTAAAAAAGTGAATGATGTTACACTAATAAAAAAAGCAGGAAAGAGACTTTTCAAAATGAACTAAAAAGTACTAAAATATAAAAGCTGTTTTAGGAAACGGCTGTAAATAACTTTCTGTCCTTGTACCAGCAGGGATGTTAGACTTGTGTGTGTGAATGTGTGTGAATGTGTGCTTGTTTGCTCACATTTACTGAGCACATTATTTGTCCGATGCTTTGGAAGAAAGCTGATTAAAGAATGACTGAGGAAGCTGATTTCCACCCCACAGTGGACCAACACTGTGCAGGATTAATCAGACCCGGCTCCTAACCATACAGGTTAATTAGGGTTAAATGATAATTAGGACACCGTTAAAAAGGCAAACAATCACCGAGGACCCTTAATCCTTACACTGCTGCCTGCTGCAGGAAGGCTTGTTTGTTTGTGCAGGAGTGTATTTACAGACAAAAGGTAGTTTTGTACATCCAGTTTTTCAAGGATATTTGTGGGTGCAACCAGGGTGAGTGTGGGAAAACATTTGAAGAGACTTTGTTTTCTTTTGATCTGTAAACTCAGCTCGAGAAAATGTTGACTTTTCAAAGCGGAACTTGTGACACACAATGTCATTTTTTATTTATTTATTTATTTATTTTGTACAGACAAAAGCATGTTTACAGTAAGATTAAGTCAAAGCTAAATTGAAAAACACAGACCAGCAGCCCAAAGTCCCAAGAAAATGTCCCCTGCCACATCTCCCAAGACGTGTTGAGAATGACTTTCAGTCATAAACACAAACTTTGCACTGATTTTTGTAATTACCTCCGCCAAGGAGGTAATGTTTTTGGTCACGTATGTCTGTCTGTCTGTCTGTCTGTCTGTCTGTCTGTCTGTCTGTCTGTCTGTCTGTCTGTCTGTCTGTCTGTCTGTGGACAACATTA